TTTGTTCCTCGATTTCCAATATTATGATTATCGTTATATCTTTGAATACATCTTGAATCGTTATAATGTCTGTTATATCTGTAATTATAATCATTATTAAATCTATTATTATTATAGTCATTTTTATTATAACTAGCTCTATTATCAAATCTCGAAGAATTATTGTACGATCCTGGATAGTTTGCTCTGACGTTGTAATAATTCGCGTCATAATTCTGATATCTAGGGTTGTAATTATTTCCTTGGTATCTGGGGTTATAACTATTTCCTTGATAAATATTTCTTTGAAAGTCATGGCCTCTTGCTGTCCATCGTTGTCTGTTATCGTAATTAGATTGTAAATTTTGTCTATCGTCGTATCTGACCACCTGTTTGTTTTCTTCAACTTTCATGCCTCTTTGTCTTTCCAAATGTTTTACGCTTGTTTCTTCTTCAGTCTTTTCACTTAAAGAAATGTTTTCAACTTTAGCTATTATATTTTCTTTTAATTCTGTCTTCTCAAAATCATCTCTTAAACTAAAGACTTCTGCTAATGTAATATTCTCTTTCAACGTAATTTTCTGCCTGATACTTCTGCTATTTGATGAAATTTTTACTTTTTCAATGACTCTAATATCGCTTAACGAACATTCATTTTGTAAAATACATAATCTACTTACCCAATTGATGTAACTTTCATTTTTACCTTATACAGCTGCATTGAATAATAACAATTTCGAACTTGTAGATTTCCTCGGATGTAATAACCTAAATTTTTCAATCAATATCGATGGATTGATGAAATCGGTAGGTGAACATATCGATTTGAGCTTGATGTATTCTTCATCTGGTAGTCTTCTTGTGAAGGATCCTGCTTTTCGATATCAGAAATCTGAGCATCGTTGAATATGTCTTCGAAACGACTTAGAAAAACATCGCCATTACCTGTGTATGTTGGAAATTCAATATTAATATTAACGTTATTATTTGAGGTCTGTTTCATAATTTATAATTTACAATATCCTTGAATTTTTCTATTTTATAGTATTGGATTTTATAAAAATTTTAAGAAGTTAATTTATATTTAATATTTTAGAAAATTTTAATTTAGGATACGCTGCCACCATGAAATTTCTAAAGATTTCTAATGGTGCAGACTTCAAGAATATAATTTAAGTCAATTTATTGATATTTAAATATAAAAAATATAATGATCACATAACTCATAATAGTTTCCTATATATATTGACAATTTAATTTAATGTAGTTTATAATAAATTGATCTTTTTAAAGTTAAAATATAAAATTGAACATTTGTTTTTTTAAGTAAATTGATTTATAAAATATAAAATTTAATATTAGTTTATAAGCAAATTGATTTTTTAAAATGTAAAAGTTGTTTTTAACAAAAAGAAAGAAACAATTCTTATTACATTTGAAATATTTTAAGTTACGCCATAAATAGCTTAAGGATGTAAAAAAACAATTTTTTAAAGTTAAGATAAAATACATGAGTGTCACTGTTTAACAGTTTTCATTTATTTTTGTTTACTATCTTAATGTGAGTTGTAAATTTTCAAGTTGAATTTAAAATATGGCAGGCAGACAAGATTCCACAAAGAAAATAAGGTTGTATTCCGTGATATGAAAATTTTTTAAACAAATATAAAAAAATATCTACCTGAATCTGAATCTTTTGTCAGGAAAAAGAAAAATATGCTTTCTCAGAATAAAAATTCTTAGATATAGATACTAGTATCTTATTAAAAATGCCAAAAAGATACTTATGAGATACAAAAAGTTTTTATCTTAGATACAATTATTCGCGGTAGTGCCCAACTCTGACCTTAAAATATTCAAATTTTTTAATAGTAAGGGCCCCAACTTTTGTTTGATAACTTAGATTATATTTATATTTAATCGCTTTAAAATCTTACCGCGTTGAAATTTTTTAAAACTCCTTTAAGTCTTGGGGGGGGCGTCACTGGCTACAATCTCCTAGTGCTCAAGAAAATAATTTAAATTATCTTCAAAATTACCTTTTTTCAGCTAACATTATCCAAATTTACCTTATTTTTAGCTAACATTTTCAAAAATACATTTGGTATAAAAGAACAAAATTTTCAGGGGGTTCTTCAAATTTTCAGGGGGCTTGAGTTACTGCACCTTCCCCCTAGTGACTCTACTTAAAATTGTTAGAAATTTATAATAACCACGATCTATCTTATCACCTAACCAATGATCATTGTTAATGACACATTGAGAAAAGTGAAAAAAGTTACACAAGGGAAATATCTAAAATAATTACTGAACTAATTAAAAAAATATCTAGATCTCACTCCAAGCCATGAAAATATATGATAAGAGGCGAAAAGGCAAATATGAACTAAACTAAAAATTTAATTTATATAGTTTTTAGGTATATTCTATTCACAAAATATTATATTCTATTTTATTTATTATCAAATACCTAATCCCCTGTTAAAGGGTTGTAGTGTAGGTGCTAATTCTTATGTTTCCATAGTTTTACAAATAAATAAAAATACATACCCTTATACAGGTGCGTACGCAGGAATTTAGTCTGGGGAGGGGGGGGGGGATAATAAAATTTTTCAAGAAATATTTTTGTTTTTTAAAAATATCAAGCATAAATTTATTAGGACTAATAACTATTTCTAATACACAATTTTAAATTAATGTGAATTATAAAAAAATTATATGTAAAGAAACACTTAAATGACCTAAAATAGAAATTTGAATTTTTTGAGCCTTTACACAAAAGGTTTCTTAGGAATAATTGCATTTTGTATGTTATATATTTACAATGTAAAATCCAATCTTCGTTGCGATTGAGCTAATTTTTCAATTATCTCATCCTTGTTTGTTGTCAAATGCCTATGAATATTCAAAAGATCCAAACCTTTCAATCTATTTTCAGATGTTGTAATTCTTGGTATGTTTTTCAGAGACCTGCAGGCCCGGCCGCCGGGCCGGACAGTATTTTAATTTTTTTAAATATACCCGGGCCGGGCCCGAAATTTAAAAAAAACCCAAGCCGGGCTGTATTTTTTAAAACAGCCTATATTTGAAATTGTTATTTTAGCTATAAAAATCAAAAATAAATATAATTTATTTTAAAAAAATCCGGGCCGGGCCTGAAAATTTTATTTAAAAAAAAGGTAGGCCGAGCCTGAAATTTTTTTAAAAAGAGCCGAGTCGGGCCTAAAATTTTTTTAAAAAAAAGCCGGGCCGGGCCAATTTTTTAAAAAAACCCAGGCCGGGCTGTAAAATATCTTAAAATCCGGGTCGTGCCCTGCAAATGGTTCTTCTGTAGGCCTATGTTATTCTTCTTAAAAAAGAAAATGTTCTCTCATTAGTTTACTAATGGGAAAAGTTTATAAACCCTTTTAATACATTGGGAATTTAATCTAAAATGTGTTTTAAATAATGCAGAGCATCCATAGCATTTTTTGGGGCTATATCAACCATAGTTACCCTTATAAACATAGTTATTCAGCTAGTAAGGCATCATAAGATACTTTAACATCTTTATAATAAAAATCTAACAAATATTATTTTTTCTATCACCATCTGAAAAAAGTTGGGAAGGCTTTTATGGAAGTAATATTTGCAGATGATAAATTAAAAATTCATTTATTTGGGTTACAAATGTATCTGTATTTAAGATATACTCTTCTACTCATCTTATATTAATGTTTTAACGATGAGCTTGCATTGCTATAAGTCGTGGGAGACAAATATTAAACACATATAGATTTGCTTTTGACTCAACAATAAAATATAAAATATGAAATTCTTCATCAACATTAGCCCTAATTTCCTTGAGTTCTGATAAAATGCTCTCCGCTATTCTAATCTTCTTAATCATGTCAATGTCATGTTTTTGAAAAGTAATACTTAAAATAGTTATATAATTTAATAATACATTCTAATGAGAAATAAAATTTGGAATAAACATTGAATCCAATAATTTTCTTGCTTCTGAGGAAATATTTCTTTCAGGCCATTGTGATATTTCAGTAATAGCAAATAATTGGCTCTTCTAACTCCTTAAAAGCTGTTACTGCTTGATGGCAGAGACTCTATATCGTTGGACTAGGTTACAATTTCTTTTTCCCTGTTGGACAAGAAGTTTCAGAAATAATTATTATTTGACTAGAAATTTGAAAATGGTAGATAAATATTACGCCACTAAAAATTTGGAAATAATAAGTAAATATTACGTCGGAAAACTTGAAATCGAAATTAATTGACAAAATAACTTAGTAGATAAATGTGATAATAAATGTAATTAAATATATATTTAATATGAGATACGAATAAATATTAACAAGTATAAATTAATATAAACAATAATATTTTTGAAAATATATCTGGAATCTGCATTTCTTAACTGGGAGGGGGGAAGTGGGATTTGCCTTCCCCCCTCCCCGCTGCCTACGTCAATGCCCTTATACGAATCCTAATCTTGCTAAACGATAAAATAAATAGATATAATTATATCAACCTTTAAATAATAAATATAACTTTTAATAATAATCTATATTGTTTTATTATTTAATATTAATGTAATTATTTATATTTCTTTAGTTGTTATTCTTATTAATCAACAGAGAATATAAAACTGATTTTTTTATATATAACATTTAACAATTGTAAAAAAATTAAACTGATTACTCTTGATAAATAATTTAATTTAGTATAATAACCCAATTATATTTATAGACATTGAAAATATGATCTATTTATTATAATTCTTTATAACTCATTTTATACAATATTTAATAACCGAGTAAAATATTTTACTAAATTTCACTATCATGAGCATGACATCATGATTTAAATTTTTTTTTAAAACATGCGTTTTTTAATCGTAAAATAAAATGTTTAATTAAATATCACAATTTCATATTTAAAATAATTTTTATATTCTAATCATATGGATTTATGTATTTCTTAAATGATGTCTATTATTAGTGAAAATTTTTCTTTGGAAAGTTTTAGCATCCCTCAAGATATTACAAATAGTGATTCGAGTATACTCATTCCTGCTTTTCCCTTATGTCCTAGAAAGGATAAAAACGATTTATCACCTGATAAATTTATAGGCAGTGGAGCTTTTGGGACAGTTTGGTAAGATTACACAATAAATGTTTTGTATTTTTGAATACGATATTATAAACATGAACAATAAATCAAAATTTGATTTTTTTTATTAAATTAACTACACCCTCATAATCTATTGCATTAACCAGATTTTTTTTTATTATGCAGATAAATCTTAAAACATGCTAAGATAAGATAAATAAATTTTTTTTTTATATAAACATGCATTGGCATAACATAAGGGGGAGGGGGGAACTTAGATATTTTAGTGGATCTTTTGAAACAGTTTGATGAGGGCATATATATATGTTGTTATACTTTATATAAAGTTTACATTTTTAAATAAATTAGCCAGATCCTCCTAATCCATTACATTTATCAGATTTTTTTTATAAAGATAAGGTATCTTAAAAATATATTGAATAAAAAAGATTTTAATTATAAAAAGCATAAAAACAAGTTTTATAAACATGCCTTGGCATTACCAAGGAGATGGGAAGCTTAGATAGCTGAGCTTTTTGAAACATCTTGACATGTATACACAGGAATATGTATTTATAGATACTTATAAATCTATAAAATTTACTGTTTTGATTTTTTTTATAAAATTATTATTTTTTATTATTGTAAAGATAAGGTTTTATCCTTGGAAGGGAAATTTACACAATTTCATAATCATCTAAAATTAATTAAGTAATTTAAAAACTTTTTTTAAAAAAAATAAGATAAGTTAATAACCTTTTAAAATAATTAAAATATTTCAGAAAAAAGCACAATATTTATAATAAAAGCTCAGTATAACTTTACCAGTCTAGTTAAAAGAAGGCTAAGACCTGTGTGCTATTGCTAAAAGGCTTAGTTTGAGCTGATTTTTAAAACAGCTAATTCAATATATTAGCCAGAAAAGAATTACCTAAATCTCAAAATTTTGCTAAAAGATGTCCAAACTTTCATCTCTGAGCAAAATCATTGGCTTGTGTAATATTTTTCTGGATGAAATATTGGGTTAGCCTTTTTAAAGATCAGCTCAAAAGCTGCTTAACAACACTAAACTCACAAATATAAGTTGAAAGCCCCCCTCCCTAGGAAAATCTTGGATAAGTTTATGTAAATATAAATATTTTTGGGAGGAAGGTAAGAAAAAAGTTCAAAATCAATATTTATTTTTTTTGAAATATAAACCAGATCCCATTTTAATTTACATTTTAGAATATTTTTGGATTTTTATATTGGACTGGATCTATAATTTTTATCAATTTTATTATTATAAATTATAGTTTTCATTTTTATATTATTAATGTTATATTGTAAAATTTGAATCAATTCTAGTTCCATTCTAAGACTTTAAATCTTTATATTAGATATTTGGCTCATGTCTGAAGGAAGGGGTAGGTTGGGATATGAAATTTTTAGACACCCCCCAAAAAATTAAAAAATATATGAATTTATTTTTTCCAATTTTTTTTTATTTGAAAAGCTAGTGGCGTCATTAATTTACATCAAGTGACAAAATATCCAAATTGAAGTTATAAAAAAAATAAATTAGTTAAGCATCCAATGACATGAAGCACTCTTAATATAAAATTTAAAACGGAAATCAGCTTGTAGCCATTTTGATTACACATAAGGTATTTATAATTTAAAATTATCTGAGCTGTGTTTATGTTAAAGTGACCTGTAAATGAGTGTTTCATAGAATTGGCACAAGATAGGCAGCTAATTTTTAATGCATAGCCATCTTGTTATGATAACAATACTTTAAAATATTTTATCAAACAACATTATCTAAAGGAGGTGTTTTATAAATTAGTCAATATTTTGGATCGTTTTTTAACTATTTTTTGCAGATCCGATCCTGAGAAAATTTTTGATAGCCGATTTTAAAGTATGATAATTTTGTTTTATGACAAGTTTTGATCTTACATCCATATTCCCAGATGTTTATGTATAAAAAATGTGAATCTGGTGCCAATTGTTAGTAGGGCACATTTTTATAACCATATCTTTCAATATCGGCATTAGAGGTGGGCGCGGGCCATGGATACGCGTGACACGTTGGGACAGCAGGTCAAGCGTGAGTGCGAATAAAATTCAAATGATTAAGTTTGACGGGCCTTCTCAACATTTTTGTCAAGCGTGAGACGTGAACATAAATTTTTCGTGAATTAAGGAAATTTTAATTTTTTAAATGATTATAAATTTGCAATTTTATTATTATAATATATCTTTACTAATTTAATACTTTTTGAAAATGGAATAATTTTTGAAAACAAAATAAATTGCATGCTATAACTTTTTCCTCGTCTTATAAAATTTAATTGAATGAAAAATAATCTAAAATTTAACATCTTGTTCAGCTATGCAAATTTGGTAATAAATTAAATTTAAATGTTTTATTTTCATTTTCAAAAGTCCTAAGTTTTAACAGAGATGAAAAGGTAGATATAACTATGATAGAATAAATTCAAATATTAATAAAGTTTTGATAAATTTAAAAAAAATTAAAAACCATGAATTTTCCGGGTGTGATCAAAATATAGTCTTTCATGAGCGGGCTGGTCGGGTTTAATTTTTTTTAGCAGCAGGCGTGAAAGGGCGTGATTTTTATTTTGGGCCTTAAATAAAAAATTAGGCCCCCGCCCACCTCTAATCGGCTTAGCCCTAAAAATCTTATGTTTACTTTTTATTGCCAACAAAGGTTAATCATTATGGCGAACAGTTGACATTTGTTATTATATTTTTTGTCATTTAAAAATATCCAGTGATCCAAAAAAATTCCCATTCCATATATCCCACGTATCTTGTCATTTTTTGACGGCAAATCAAAAATTCTAATATCTGCCCCCTCCCCACTCATAAATATAAATTACAAATTCGTATTAAGAAATTTAATTTATTGCTTTGTTCTTAATTTCTCGATACAAAGTTTTACTTCCTTGTTAATACAAAACCGAAAAACCGCTGCGATTAGGCAGGGAGGCCTCGCATAAACATACGTTCTTCTAAGGACGGGTCATAGACCAACTTGCAAAATGAATGAATTCTTTGATTCAATTTTTTTTGATGCGGTCTAGAGATGAGGTTATTAAACTATCGAAAAATGCAAAATAATGAAAAAAACATTTTAAAATAAAATTTATTCTTTTTTCAAACTTTTAGAATTTTTAAAATATTCTAGAATTATCTTCTGGACATGTTTTTATATTTAAAAAAGCTTATTTCTTCTTTTTCGATAAAGTTTCAAAAGTTTGCGAATCGAAGTTTTTGATATTTTGGACAGATCCTAAAAAAAAATTTTCATTCAGTAAAACATCAATAAACTAAATACCACTTTATTAGACTTGTTCAATTAGACTTGTTCAAGTCTATATAATTCTTAACTGCCCATAATTATTATGCAATGAAAAGGTAAATGGACCCATATTTTAAAAAACGCTATTTTAAACATTTAATAAATTAAACCATTTTTTAATTCCTAGCACATAATACATCAGATGTTATCCCAATTTCTAGTTTAAACAAAGCTAGAGTTGTACTGGTTCAATTTTCTATCGTTACAGGGTCAGATCAATCAATTTTTTGCTGGCCTCTTAGCCCACTACTACCCTATCTTATAGAAAATAAAAATTATAAAATTTTTTTTCTTAATATAGAGCTATCCGGTGCGCCGGATTTAGTATTCGGCCCATTATCTAGATAATATCAAACATTTTAACGAAAAAGGTCGTCATTAAATTTTATTTCAAAATAATTAACACGGCTCACATATCACATGTAACACTTGCTCAAAAGTAAATTATTTTAAAAATTAATGAACTAATTATTGTATATATGTTAGTCATTTTCAATTATTTTTATTCATCTAAATTTTGCTGCGGTATAATATAAATGTAATTTTTAATATACCGAAAATTCTAATAATTCATCGTATTATTCGATTGAAGCCTGAACGTTTATTTTGGATTTACGGTTTTGTGAGAATATTTTAAAAATTTGTTCTGGGTTGGTTTTCCACAAATTTTTTTTTAGATGGCGCTGCAGCTGACTCGTATATATTTACACTTTAATTAATGAATCGCCAATCTATTAATATATGTATGATTCATTGCTTTTTCAACAAACAATATTTTTTGATTAATTTGAGATTCGTTAAATAGAGTATCGCTCCTAGTCTGGATTTTGAAGGCTCATAACTTCCATACTAGGTGAGCTAGAATCTTAAAGTTCGATTTGGGTAAAATTTACGATTAATAACCTTCAGCTTAGTCGAAAACGTTTCCCATCTATACTATTTAACCAATATACAGAGTTTCTTAATTTTAAGGATGGTGTTTCATAACGCTAACCCTAAATGATCCATGTTCTGTCCGGGTCTAATTAATATTTAAAAAATCACTATTCGTTTTAGGAAATCATGAGTTTTAAAAAAATATATATATATATATATAACAAGCAACCCCTCCCACAACTTACCCTAAATTTTTCTTTTTTAAATTATCGATGAAATCAAAATGTATAAAGATTTTTTTTTTATAAATCAAGGTTATTTAAAATTGTAAAATCCAGTATAACATCTCACACATTTAAATATTGATGCCCTTATTAAATTACCATATCTAAATAATATAATTATAAAATAAAATAAATATTCGCTTAAATTATATTATGTTTCACATTAAAAATAATAATTTTTAAAGGTAAACTAAACTTATACCTTAATGTACTATTATAGTTTGTCAAACATTTTTAAAACAAACAAATATGGTGTTAACTTTTACCATTTTCGTAATGTGTAACTTTATAAAATCGAGTAAAAGAAGACACAGGGATAACTCTATTATATTTATTATCTTATATTATTACAATAGTTAATGTAGATAAATTAAGAAAGATATTAATAACAAAGGCGGGCAGGTGAAAATGAATACAATATCTTTTTTGCGATTTACTATATTTTATATTAAAACCTTCACCATATAAATTTAATTACTTTTTTTTGTTTACATTTTTAAATTTACAAATAAAAA